CCGTTCCTCAACGCGGTCATGGCGATCAAACTGTTCGGGGGCAACGCGACGCCGGCGCAGAAGTCGTGCCACATGGCCGCGGGCACGGGGTTGTGGTTGGCCTACATCCCCTTCCGCATGGCGCTCTTCCCCGCGTGGCTCTGGCTCTGGTTCGACGACCAGCGGACCTTCCCGGACCGGACGACGGCCGTGTCGTCGACCTTCGAGCTCAGCTTCTTCCCCGCGGTCATCGCCTTCCTCCTCGCGCTGTCGACGGTGTGGTTCTACGCGATCACGAAGGGCCTCGCGAAGGCGCTCGGCCTCATCGGCCCGCCGAAGAAGAAGGGCCCCTAGGGATACCGCGGGCTCATCTAACGTTCCTAGGTAAACAGCTCGCCGTTCTCCTCGATCTGCGCGAGGTAGGCCTCCGCGTTGGGCCAGAGGTCGCTGGGCCCCTTGGCGAGGAGCGGGTTGAAGGGCGAGTTCGGCAGGACGAACTCGTCCAGGGCGAGCTCGACGAAGACGTCCTTGTCGATCTCGCAGACGTCGAAGCGGACCATGTCCCAGGGGTCGACCCAGAGCGACACGTCCGTGTTCGGCGAGTACCAGAAGTAGGCCGCCGTGGGGTCGGCCTCCTGGGCCTTGGGCGCCAGGTCGTCGACGTTGTCGAAGGCCGCGAGCGCGCCGGGCTTGTCCGCGGGCATGGACGCACCGCCGGCGCCGCCGCTGAGCGAGTTCCGCTTCTGCTCCGCGGGCGTCAGCGCCTTGGGCTCGACGCCGCGCATCAGCTTGGACAGCGGCGGCGGCGGCAGCTCCGGCTGGCAGAGCACGGGCACGCCGTCGCGGAGCTCGTAGCGGTGCCAGACCTCGAGGAACATGCGGTGGATCTTGTCCCTCATGAGCGCGCAGCCGTCGTCGAACATGCGCCGCACCTCGCGCTCCTCGACGTAGGGGTTGACCTCGCTGATGAGCGCGTCGAAGGCGTCGAAGGTCATGGCCGCGACGAGCTCGGGCCGCCGGTTGCGGTCGTCGTCGTCGTCGTGGGCCGGGCCCTCGCCCGCCTGGGCCGCGGCCTCGGCCAGGAGCGCGGCGACCGGGTCGGGCACGTACGTCGGCCGCCGCGCGTCGCGCAGCACGTAGCTCTTGACCTTGTCCTCCTGCACCAGCACCACGTCGCGGTCCACGTTGCCGTTGTCGTCGGCGAAGCGCATCTCCTCCTTGACCTTGTAGAGGTGCGCGTGGCGGAAATACAGGAACTCGAGGTGGCCGCGCCACGTGCCGTTGACGTCCGCCCACGTCGCGTTCGTCAGCTCCAGCAGGTCGTCCAAATCGACGCAGCGCGAGTTGCGCGACTGCGTCGGCGCCGGCAGGTTCTGGACCCGGTGCAGGATCTGCGCGCCGCCGTCGGGGAGGATGGGGCCGAAGATGGCCTTCATCGTCTCGACGGCCTTCTTCCGGTTGATGTCGATCTGCTGGTCCTTGTCCTGGAGGATGGCCTCCGTGAACTCGTTGCCCCGCCGCAGCGCCACGAGCAGGCCGAAGACGAAGTTCGAGTCGCGGACGCCGAACGGCGGCGCGCTGTCCTTGTCGTCGACGCCGAGCCACCTGGGCAGCACAAGAGTGATTCAACGTCGCTTCAACGTGAGCGTTCCGCGCGCGCGCGTTACGGAAAACACATCCACGCTTCGAGACCGTTCCGAGAGATGATCGCTCGTCCAAAAATCAGCCGAAACGAGTCGAAAACGGCCGAGATATGAGCCTTTGAAGTTGGGAATTTCGCTCTCTTGTGCTGCCCTGCGAGCCACTCGCCGAAGAGGCGGACGCGCTTCGACGTGTCGCGGTGGTGCTCCACGGCCTTGACGAGCTGCGTCGTCTGCTCGTCCGATAGCGACGCCAACCCGAACTTCTTGAGCAGGTACTTGTAGGGGAACGCGCCGAGGACGAGGCGGCTCCGCCCGTGGTCGTCGCAGTTCCGGTCGTACAAAAGCTTGTCGAGGTAGATGGACAGGATGAGGCGCAGCGTCGCCTGGAGCGACGGGATGCGCATCGTCGCCGGGAAGGAGCCCATCTGGCTGCGCAGCAGCAGGGGCATCTTCAGGCCCGTCTTCTTGGGCTCCTTGACGCGCGGCGGCGGCACGGACTTGTCGACGCGGACGCCCTCCTCGCGGACGGCCTCGTGCTGGCAGCCGACGTGGGCCTTCTCGACGCCCTTCTTCTTCCGCGCGTGGCCCTTGAAGTCGTCGGGGTCCACGCCCTCGACGACGGCCGTGAGGTCGTGGAGCACCTGGCGCTGGCGGTGGCCCTCGGCCGTCGCGTTCGCAAATAATTCATCGATCTCGTCGTTCATCTCGTAGACGGACTTCATGCGCTGCTTCGCGAGCCTGTCGATCTCGTCGAGGCCGTAGGCCTCGCCCGACGAGTTCGCCTCGGTCATGAGGCGCATCTTCTCCTGCTTCAATTCCAGCTCCGCGTCCTGCGTCTCGACGACGTGGCCCTCGACGTACTTGCCGATGACGAAGCGCAGCTTCTCGACCTCCCGCTTCAGCTGGGAGTTCATGAGCTCCAGCGTCTCCACGTCGGAGTCGCGGTCCCGGAGCGTCGCCTTGACGACGGCGAGGTCGAGCTTCGCGTCCTCGTAACTCCGCGACACCGCGGCGACGCGCTCCTTCGCGTCGCGCTTCATGGCCTTGCGCTCCTCGTCCCAGGACGTCACGGACTCCTGGACGGACTCGCTCATGCGCACCAAGTGCGCGACGATGGCGTCCTCGCCCTCCCAGAGCTTCCCGAAGAGGTCCGCGAGGTGCGCGCTGTGCACCGCGCACTGGCGCCGCAGCTCCAGGAAGCAGATGGCGTGGCGCTTCCGCTGCGCCACGATGAACCCCGCCGTCGACTTCTTCGCCTTCATCGCGCTCGCCTCCTCGTCGCCGTGGGCGCCGTACATGATGTCCTGCATCCACCCGGGCAGCGCGCCGCGGTCGTGGGCCCGCTGGCGGAAGGTGAGCGACCGCGGCTCGATGGTCTCCTTGAGCCGCGGCGGCCGCTTCTGCTCGCTCCGCAGCATCGTCGTCGACAGGTCCACGTTCGGCATGGTGGCCGCGCGGGCGTGGGGCACCGTCCAGCCCGCGCCGCTACGCGGGGCTGCAATGCTGGGATACGAGAGAAGCTGCCGCTTCACACCCAAACCTCTCGGACGATTAGCCTCAATATGGGCTTCGCGCCGCGCCACAGGCCGTATGAGGCCGCCTGTGATCCCCGCGTCGCTTCCGTCCGCGTCTACTAGTCCCTGCGCGGTCGCGTGCCACTTTTGAGCGCTGGAAACGGCGTGCGCGCGACGGCGCACACGGCCTCGGAAACCGCCTGCGGGAGCGGCCGAGCAGCGGGCGGCGCTGGACGCGTCCGGAGGTCGCCGCGGGTCCGTAAACCGTCGCGGCGGTCCGTCCATGTTGCGCATAGATGCGGCGCGCGCTCAACTGCGTCGGCCGAGGCCGTGGTCGTGGTGCGGCGCGCGGCCGAAGACGGGTCCCGACGACACGTTCGAGGCGCGGACCGCGGCTAGATCTGCGCGAGTTCCCGTCGGCGAAGTGGCTCGTGCAGCTCGTCTATCACTACGGGTGAGCCGTGGCCCGACAGATCACGTCAAATCCGCCACATCGCCGTTCATGACCCCAGAACCCGTTTCGGCGGCGGTTTCGGGCGCCGCTCTGCGGCGGCCGGCGCGCGGGGGCCGCGGTCCGTGCCCCCGGACTTGATCGATTTCGCGGCCAAATATCTCCACGAAGCGATCGGGAATGACTCCTAGCGGGCGCGGACGACCTGCAACGCTCGGCGGACGCGAACGTCGTGCTCGGCGCAAACTCGCGCAACCGCTCGGCGACGGCTACGCGGCGCCCATGGGGGCGGCGGTGCGAAGATATGGGCTCCGAGCTCATCCTATCGATGGGCGAGGGCCGTGGAGCACTCATTAGCGCTGGACCCGACGTGCTTCTATGCGGCGTCGAAG